TGATAATACTGGGGTCTATCATACTTATCCGGTAATTGACTGCCTAACGAGGAGGCGTCCATTAGAATACTCATTAATACCTCATCATCATCCCTGATAGCTTTAATAACAGCATGGTGGGGGGATTTCAAGGTCTTACAGGATTGTGTGTACATTTGTGTGTGCAGAGGGACTAGTACGGATGTTGTGCGTAGAAGTGATGTTACCTTACTTAATTCAAAATATACTTTACTGCTCTCAAAGGGTAATAAAACATTGCTGTAACTCTTGTTATATTGTTCTCAAATAATATTTGTAGATGCTATCCCCCAAACCAAATTAACAACACATTCACTTTAATATGTCTATATCTCACTCCACATAGGTGACATGCAATAAAACTGATAAACGATCTGTCTTGCAGCCTCTGCAATCTGAAATCTCATATGATGAGGGCCTTCCGGTTGAGCAATGCTGGACTAATGTGGCCTTTCAAGTATATAAATCTTAAAGGGCCAGTCTTACTGTGTGTATGTCCCAGGAATATACTTCAATTCTATACCAAAATCAAGTATGTCACTTTCAATTGTTTAGAAAATACAGCCTACAGTATATTAAGTTGAAATTGGACTTCCCATAATAGCTGTTTTTTAAATATTACCCTCAATCCCATTTCAGCATGCCATCACATCAAGGGCAGTGTGTCCTCAAGTCCTATCCGAACAGTGCTGGCAGTAAGGAGTCTCTTACAAGATGTTTTAGCTCGGTAAAATATCCCCCAGTCACGCGCTCTCACACACACTGGTCAAAATTAAGCTATTTCCTACAAAGGCATTGAGTGTACGTATAAGATAAAGTTTGAAGCTATGTTTAGCAATAAGACAATGAACATCCGCCATTTTTCAGCTTACCTGGGCAGATGAAAAAGGTGCTTGTGTACTTTGAGAAGTCCAGGCAGGGCCCAGTGTACTGGAGAGAACAGAAATTTGGAGTTGCTCCGTATTTGGTGTTGAATTATGGAGAGATCTTCTGTGGACTATTACTTTCGAAGGAGTTACTGAGAATCTGGAACTGTTCTGTAATTAATTTATCAGTGTATTTATCAATGTAAGCAGAGCGGAGGGAAGAAGAAAACGGAGGATTGTTCAGCAGATAAGCAGTCGTAAAGTGTATTTGCTTTAGGTTGGAGGAGAGTTCCTACCTAAATAATAGTTCAAATATAATGAGCGGAGAATGGAGCAGGAGATGGGTGGACGGATTGGTGTGGCTGCTGCTGTAATTAAATCGGGATCATGACCATACGAACATGGGGAGAGTAAATCTCTTTACCCTTCTTATTTAGAGGAGTCAGCTGAGGTGACTGAGGCATCTTTATCGGATGCCCCCAGGATGTCCTACCAGTCTTGGTTGGCCTGGCAGCACCTCGGGCTTCACCCAGCAGATCAGGAGGAGGTGTCTGGGGAGGAGTAAGTCAGGGATTCTCTGGAACACAAGTTTGTCTCTCCTTGTAGACGTCTGTCTACAGTAGAGTCTGTTGGCCAGGTGAACAACAATGTATTTATACTAGTGTTGCACCAACACCGATACCAGGATCAGGCAGGGCCCCTATCCAGCACTAAAATGGTGGTATAGTATCGGCGAGGACCAACAAATAGGGCACCGATACCATTTTGAGAGCCAAAAGTTTATTCAACTATTGTCACCCATTCCAGGTAGGCAATAAAAAGTTCTACTGGATTCACTTTGTATTACAGGTAGTCCTTTTCCTGCTTCACAAAGGCACAAGTACAGTTCTTCACATATACACACACACATCAATTTCAAGCAGATGGTATCAGTGCAGTATTCTTATTGGCCAATACTGCACAGCCAGGTATCGGGTATCGGTATTGTGGCCAAAAAATGGCATCAGCGCAACGCTAATTTATACCTCAAGGTATTTATACCAATGAGGTATTTATACTCCTCCACCCTCCATCCTCCACCACCTCCACTTCTTTTCCAAAGATGATAGCATTCAACTTGTTCTCCTTTCTTCTGAAATCAACAATCACCTCTCTTGTTTTTTCTTTCACATTTGGCATCAGTTACTCTTTTCACACTATGCAGCAAAGAGTTTCACCAGCTCTGTGTTTTCAGCTTCTTGTCCGTCTCTGTTAAACCCCAGCACTCCAGAGTAATTTGTGCTGATTACAGTGCCGTCTTTTGCTGGAAGTCTGAGGTGTACAGAGTAAAAGGGAATATGAGAGTACAGTCCTCTTTTGGGCTCCTGTGCTGCTGACTTACACACTTTACCATTTAGTCTCACAAACTATCTTCTGTTTGTCAGGTAGTCCTTGATCCAGATGATTGTTTCCACCTCCACCTGAGCCTTCTGGAGTTTCTTACACAGTAAATCAGGCTGGATAGTGTTCAACGCAGTGAAAAATCAAAGAATTTGATCCTGGCCGTGTTGCCTGCAAGTTCATATTGTTGACATGATGTTTTATCACTTTGTGATGTTTCTTTAGGAACTCTAGATGTAACATGTGTGTTATGGAAAACCCTGTGCATCCTGTTCATCTTTTGAACAATAATCGAATGTCCTCAGTTAGTGGCTTCTCCAATTTTTGTGGCTGATGGTACCCTTAACTTAATATATTGTTGCCCAACCTTTTTAGGCAATCACTGCAATCAAATTAATTCTGTAACTGTCAATGATAATGTCAATGTCTGCACCTCTCAGTAGGTATTTTGGTCCATGATCAAACCTCCCAGGTGTTTCAGTGTTGAAGGTCATCTTTCCAGATGGCATTTTTCAGCTCATTCCTAAGATGCTCAATAGGTCAGGGCTCATACAGTAGATGGCCACCTTACTGTTGAGCTTTCCAATCTGTTTCCTTTGCTTCCTCTTGTCTAATACATGTTGAGTGTGGTACACAAAAAAGCCCTATATAAAGGCCCACTGACTGATTACAATGCTTTAGACACCAGTGTGCTAATTGGTGGTCTTTTTTTTTATTCAACATGTCCCTTAGGTCAGATTATTGTCAGTCTTTTATAGGGGTACCTTCGATTTTTTTTCCAGACCTGTTTCATGAGTTTATTTATTTTTAATCATTCTGTTGAAGCATGTTTGATGTTTGACTTTCACTTCTTCCAAGAATTTTTATTAATTACTTTTGTCAGAATCTAGCTACATCTGTCTCCGTTGTGGGGTTTTCTTTCACTGAATAAGGAAAACCAACAATTTTGTCCACATGTATAACTGTAGATTTGTGATTTGTACTCAAATAAAAAACATTGGTTGTACAAAAACCTTTTGCTTTGAAAGCAGTATGTAATATGTTAATTCAAAATGACTTTACTTTACTTTACGTTATTTCAACACAACTCAACCACTTCCCTCCAAAACTCTTGGATCATTTTAAAGGTGATTCCTTGCTCTGTGGGCTATAAAATGCTGGAAAAAGTACTTTTGGACATTGAATATAAACCCAGAGATATGGGTAGGGTTTTGTATTGGGTGGGATTTATTTCTCCTTAAACATTTTGTTCTCCTGTTTTCTATAGGTTTACATATGTTGCTGTTAACATTAGCTGATGAGTGAGGTGGATACTCTTGTTTTAGGCAAAAGCACAACCCATGTGTACCAACAGACAATTCTGTGTGACCAGGGGATCGGATTATAAAAAGAAAATGAGTTTCTCTCATCGCATTGATTTTGATTGGATATTGAACATAAAGTCATATATGTCTCTTAGTACACACCATAATATAAGCGTGGCACATTTGGTTACCGGTAGTTAAACATTTTGACCTCACTCATTTACAATTGTATGACACCATTTATAAACTCAAATCCTCCATTTTCCATCACACTTATCCCTGCTGGGGTCGCGAAAGGTCTCCAGCTGTCTATGGGGAAGAAGCGAGGTAAACCCTGGACAGGTCGTCAGTCAATCATAGGGCAACACAGAGACAAACATTCACTCACACACTCACACCTAATGAGAATTTAGGGAAGCCAATTAACTTCACAGTCATGTTTTTGGACTAGGGGAGGAAGCTGGAGTACCCCGAGAGAACCCACGCATGCTCAGGGAGAACATGCAAACTCTATGCAGAAAGACCCCAGGCCAGGAATCTAACTCCCGGAACCTTTTGTTGCAAGGCAGCAGTGCTACCCAGGCCAAAATGAATTAATTCAATTATAATCATGTTAGATTAAACATGCTGTACTCACCTTTTTCATATCATATATTATCTACATAACACTATTATGTTGTCTAAGTTTCTATGGGTCTAAGTTTTAAGTCAAGATATGCTTCGATAGATCTCTCAGACGCAAGTAATTTCTGTCTTCAGGCATAGTATCTAAATTTCCCAAAAAAACAATAGGATTAAAGTAACTATGGATGCCAAAATAGATCCAACAAATGCTAGATTTTTTCAGTAAAGCATATTGGGGGTGACTAGTTGAAAGCTGGATACCTACTGTAGCAGCCATTCAAAATGGCCCTTCCCGATCGAATGCCAGCTAAATGGCAGCCCACTTCCAGCCACTGGAGTGACCCCCTCCTTCTCCTGGGTGTGTATATTTTTTCACTCTGATTCCACCCTTTCACTGAATTATAGGGTCTGACCAGGAGATGGCGATTCTCTTCGGATCTTAATGTCCACAAATCATAACAGAAAGAATATTTTAGTACAAAGATTTATGTTTAAAAAAGGACCAGCCTATCGTTTACAGTGGGGAAATTTTGAATGGCTACTACTGAACCTTATTCACATTCGTAGTAGCTTAGTAAGAAAGTTGAATTATATTTTCTCTTGGAAAGGGACCTGCAGTCCTTTAACTCTTATTATTTGCCATATATAAAGATTTCAGAAAGAATTCTCACCATTGTGGAGTTTCTGCAAAAATGACACTCGGTCCTTCATTCATCTAAGGTCACGGCTCAGGCGGACTTTTCAGATGAGAAACTAATTTAAATATTTTCAGTGGTGGTTGCTGACAGTTTTGTGTTGTATGTTGCAGGTATGCCCCTCAGTCTGGACTGCAAGGCCTTTTTTGGCTACAGCGGGGAAAACAAGAAGCCCATCATCAACTGGATGAAAGGAGAAAAGTATGTGGAAGAGCTACCAGGACACATCAAGGAGAGCGAAGTCCTGTAAGTACAGCAGCGTTCATAAGAATAAGGTGTCACCACATCAAGATGTCAAATCATTATTCAAATTATGAACAGAGAAAAACACTCTGGTTTACAGGTGTCTGTTCTTAATAAATGACTTGACTGCTCACAATGTCAGGAACTAATTTCTTGTGATTTATGACAATGACAGGATTCTTCTCAACTCGACTGAAAAATTATGAATCCCAATAATAAAGTTTAATTGAATTCATTTTCTCCCCTGTTGGGACCAATTACATTGGACTCTACTGGGGAAAGGCTGGTTGTCTGCAGGGCATCAAACATCATTAGAACAACCTGCTCGATCACTATGGCAACCGCTGGTACAATGTCACACTCTCTCTCTTACATACGCACACACACCCCACACACACACTCACAGTGAGCCTAAGAAAAGAGGCCTTGGCCACCTGACTTTTTGTTGTGCAAAAAAGCTGAAATTGTTTCTTTTTGAGTTTCAAGTAAAGAGGTAAATTACTGGAAAAAAAAAACAAATAGAGATCTAACATTTGATTTTTTCACACTGTGATCAACTAAGCCTGCGTCACTCTTTGTTGAGTACTTTTTTTATAAACAATTTGTATTTTTTTAATCAAAAAGTAGATATTTAGAGTCTTTTTCTTTCCTCCTTTCATTGGAACCTACTCCACTGCTCTCAATTTATTCACTGGATTGCTGATTGTACATTAGACACAATGTCAATGGCTAATTTAGTCAATATTTAATCTATAATTCTATAGAATACATTGGCATATATATTGATTTTCTTGGTTAGTTCATACACTGACTGTGAAATTACCAGTGGAACGTCTTCCCACTGCCGGCACACTGCTTGTTTTTGCTGCCAAATGCTACACATGTAGTCATTTCTACTACGTGTGTCCATGGGAGTGGGGAGTACCAACATGGCGGATGGTGGCTTCACTTTTTTTGGGCAATCAGCAATCCAGTCAATAACTACAGATGAGTGGTCTACTGATTTATGGGTTCAAGAACTTCAAAATGAGTTAAGTTGTACAAAATGACCAATGGAATACATGAGCCCATTTCTCCTCGTGCACGCTCTGTAAAAGTTGCTGATCTCATAGCTCAAACAAGTTTACTGTGTCCGAACGTCCGCTCTAACCCCTACGTTTCTCAATCACTATATATAATAGGGTCTATAAAGTGGACTATATAGTGGAATCAGTTAACTGACCGTTCGGACCGATCACTGCTTTTAGTTCCCAGTTGGTCACGTAACTCCTCCTCCATGCGTTCCTAGCTCCATCTTTGTTATTAGTCGCTACTGTCTTGTAGCAGCAGCCTATGGCGACAGCGGGCCTCTGTGACAGCAAATCCCATAATGCTTTGCCAGGAGAGCTCTCCTGGCAAAGCATTCTGGGATATATCTGCCTCTTCTGATATATCTGCCTCTTCTGAGGCCTTTCTTTACTTCTCATACACTTCTTAGACACTTTTTCTCTTTTTCACCCAGAGCCTAAAGGGGTGGGCATTTATCATTTTCATTTAATATCCTGATAGGAACTTTGATTTTCATCTGATAGATAAATTGGAATTAATGAAATTTAAAAAATCTCCCCAATATGAGTGAATTGTCACTCATATTTTTACATTTTTTTCTTTATTGATTTCTTTTCAGTTAATTCAATTAATTTAATTAATTGCAGTTACTGTGGGGGTTTGATAGCCAAGGTTAGGGTCCAAATCCCACCTCCTATTGTACAAGGTGACCTGAAGGAGCTTATTTTAAAGGGGAATATTTTTTACAATTTGTGATTGTGGGGCTATTATTGCTGTTGCAGGCGATCACTGCCATAAAGTAACTATCCGAGCAACGTCTGCAAATAAGTAATGACGACTCTACTTTATGGTCAATTTTATTAACAATACCACAAAAGTATTACAAAATATTGTGATACTATTCAGATATTTTAGTGTCCTAACCCTGTTAGGGTTTCATCTTTGAAGTTTCCTAATAAGGAGCATTAAATATTAGTGGCAAAAACATAAATATACGAAATAATTGGCTGAGATTATGGTGATCTAATTAAATTCTGTTTATTTCTATAGCGCCAATTCACAACACATGTCATCTCAAGGCACTTTACAGTTCACCAGATCATAGTCCAAAATTCAACGCTTTCTATCTAAGGAAAACCAGCCGATTGCATCGACTCATTGACTCCAATGCAATCCCTCACACCAAGCATGCTTGTAGCGACAGTGGAGAGGAAAAACTCCCTTTTAACAGGAAGAAACCTCCAGCAGAACCAGGCTCAGTGTGAGCGGCCATCTGCTGAGGCCGACTGGGGTTCAAGGAGACAGAAGCAGAGATACAAAAAGCAGCTGTACACTGCAAAAAATGTAAATCTTATAA